TGACGCCTAGCGCTTTTTAAATCACTGATCGAAACAAAGAAGTGGGCACGACAAACACAGAAAATACTTACTCCATGGGAAGAAAGAAGGAAAAGGATACTCCTTTTTCTTGTCTTAACGAAATGCTTGTTTCTATAGTGATACAATCAACTGGCATTGTAAAAATCTCAATGGTGAGCACGACCTGACACCATAAGAATCCATAAATTGAATCAGACCTTCGAAACGAAAAAAGGTTAAAGAAAGAACAAAAATACAATGTAATGCATCAATTGTAACAAAAATTGGATGACTTTTATGCTGCACACTCAGCTGCTGGCTGTCATCCTTCTTTGGTTGGTGCCAATGGATAATACTTTCTTGACAAATAGCTAATAAATGAAGTACTACGATGGATCTGCCTTTTCCCATATAGCCTCTTCCATGCAAGATCAGAGTAGCTTGGGCCATTTGCTATGGATCTTTCGATCTGCAGTATCGTTCATAAGAAACACAAATTTAGAACTTGTCAGCGCCACAAGTCCCTATCTATACTAAGAGTGTAAAATAAGGTTCATGTGGTGATTATACTTTAATTTAAAGACCAATATCATTTAGCACTTGAAATATCATGAAACTACTAAATCCAGTATCCTAAGTCGTTAGTTGCTGCACATCATTGATGACAGTATGATTTATGAAACCTGTCGTTGACATAGGAATTAGGATCCAAAGTATATCAATTTACTTTGATTATTAAATTCTCATGATCTCCAATTTTGCATTTTTCGGCTTAATCCACTATGAAGTCAGGCATATTTTTGTAAAGCCGGAACATCCAACAAAAATAGTGTAGTCCAGTCTGGAAAAAGGAGGACAACTTAATTTAGAAAAAAAAAGGAGAACTTCAACAAGTGACCAACACTGAATGTTTAATAAAAAAAGGCATTTATAGATTTGTCACTACTGTTGGTGACTGTTTATCTGCAACCTGATTTCTAGATCTACACTTTCAATATCTTAAACCATTCAACCTAAATATCTTAAGCTCAAGCTTCATTTTCTTTTCCTTTAAGGCAAAGCATAAGCAAATCCCACGCAATTAACTTCATTGTAAAATGAACAGGTACAAATGATAAGAGACTATTAATTTACCTTGATTATTTTCCCCTTTTCCAAGTGGTATCGGACACCAGACCAATTTATGGACTGTGAAAAACGTGAACGAATTGCAGAGATAGGGTACAAGAAGTTATCTACAAGCATCGCCAGAAATACCTGCTCAGCAAACATATAAATCCAACATAAGTTAAGTCAGACACATTGCTAATCTAATACCCAACTATTCCTAAGAAACTATCAAACCTAGAACTATGAAATAAAATTGCAAGACAAATGCTTACAAGTCCCCAGTTATAAGATCCGAGTGAGACTGTTGGCTCTTCTGGAGATAACATGTTGCATAACTGAATCTCCAGCTTAGTCAAGTTCCACATTGACAGAAGTTCTATAACAGTGGATATAAGCAAGCAGCTCGCCAGTGACAAGCCTGAACACATACAAGTAAATACATCTTTTATTAAGATAATAATAACAGAATATAAACAAAATGAAGTTACTTAATGAACTTGTACATTGGGTCAATTGATTTTATAATATGTCCAAAGAACCTGGTAGAAAAAGTCAAAACCACCTCTTGACAATAAACCTTCTAGTACATCAATAGTTCAGAAATATAATCGTACAGGTCCCTATGGTTGACTAGGTCCTACTTCAAGGGAAAAATAATTGACTCACCACAAGATGAGGAAAATGCCTCACTGTATGTAGAACCACAAAATGGTGCTCTTACAAATGCTGCAAGATGTATTAATGCCATGACATATGGCCAGACAAATCCCCAGGATAAATAGCAATGTGTAGCGAACAAGGCACGGTTCATCAGCCAATTAACCTTTGATATGTAGGATTCAAGAACAAATGTTTGTTTCCTTAGGTAATTCCAGTATCTACACAAAAATTATAGAAGGGTAAATTAAAAGTGAATCAGTTATGGAAAGTTTTCCGTTGATGATGCCACAAACCTTGGAAAGCTAAGATCACTTGCAAGGGGATGGGGGAAGACAGCAACTGGTGGTGACCAAATAAGTCTGTTATGTTGTCCTGCAAAAGCATATTTAGTTAAGATTGATTTGAACACTATTCACTCATTTAAGCACTATTGGTAGGAGATGGTATAGAACTATAACAAAAACTCGAGAAAATCATAGCATGTAGAAGGCCAAATCTTTGATCTCTTTTCAGAACGAATATGCTTTGAAATACAGCTGGAAAGATACAGTAACTCCAAAGGATGAAACATTCAGTTGTAACACGTTGGGTAAATTTCGAGCATCATCACTAACTTGTTTTCTCTATCCAAGGGGCCAATGAACATGAAATAAAGAGAATAAACATGGTTCTTGCCAAAAAAATTTGACGTTTTTGCATGATAAGAAAATTTTAACCCAGGTGGGCAGAAACAACATATATACATGAAATAAAGAGAAGAAAATTAGGTTTTGCCAAAATTATAGTATTCCAACATGATAAGAGAAGGTTAACCTAAGCAGGAGAAAACTATTAATGCTGGTCCCAAGCCCAGATAGAAAGGATGGAGGGTTGTGTTAGGTTATTGATAGTCAACGTAAAATTATGTCGAATCTCATAAACATATACCTTAACTGAGAGACTAAAAGGAAAATTTTACAAGATAATTATTGGACCAACAACACTTTATGGATCTGAGTATAGGACAGTTAAAAAATAACATATACAAAAAAATTTGTATTGCTGAAATGAAAATATTGAGATGGATATATGGAGTTACTAGGAAAGAAAGAAAAAAGAAATATTTTTATCCATGAATAATTAGGTATCACTTCGATAGAGGATAAAATGAGATAAAATCATTTAGAATTATATAAACATGTGCTCAGGAGACATATAGATATGATAGTTAAAAGATATGAAATAATTAGTCTTAATGGTATGCAAAGAGGTACAAGAAGACCTAAGAAGACTTTAATAAAATTATAAATAAAAATTTAAATATTATTTAACTTAACTAAATATATGACTTTTACGAATCTCAATGACGATAAAAGATCAATGTAGCCAACCCAAATATCTAGGACTCATGACTTTATTATTGTTGTTGTTATTGTACTTATTATTATGCTTTAAGTAGTTTCATACAAATTAGTTATTTTCCTAAACCATTGAGATACATATTGGTTTGGAAGCTAATTTTGATAATAATTAATATCTTAAACTTGATGTTACATTGATCAAGAAATGCAAGTCATACATGGACATGTATCCAAGGGTACAATTCAACGAGTAATGAAGGAGACACGACGTGTACACAAACTTTTCATTGTTACATAGGACCTTTTTATTATAAACACAAGAGCAAAGGAAATCCCTCTTCTCATGAAACAATGTAATTTATATAGTGCTTTACCTCTATACAAATCAAAATGCAAGGACCTAAATTGCAATACCAGCCCTGCACAAATTTTCTCTCATAGTAGCCACGTAAACTAGTTTACAAGTATAGGACCTAAGCATTTACTAAGTATGGGACTACATCTTATGTCATCATTTATGAAATCTCAGTTTGATAGAATTAATTAAGTATTAACGTGAAGGAATATAAATTTGCCTTGTCTCTTACAGCGATTTCAATAGGCGCTCAAGCGAGGCGAGGTGAGGCCTGAGCGCCTCACTTCATATCCAGGCGACGCGCTTCAAAGAGGCACCGCCTGGGCGCTCGCCCGAAGCGCCCGATGCTTGGGCTCGTCTGAGTGCCCGAGTTAAACCAAGCGACCTCGATGCTTTAGTTGGTTCAATCGAACTAACTAAAGTACCGATATCAACCTCCCAGCATCCCTCTCATGACTTCGCCGACCCTAACCTTGCTCGTGATTCTGCCGCCGACATTTCCTCTCCGCTGTCATTGCCTCTCTCCGCTGTCGTTACTTTCTACTACCATTTCCACTATTGTTGCTCGCCGCTGCCATTATCGTTGCTCACCGCTGCCATTGTCGCTGCTCGCCACTCCCACTGCCGTTGCTCGCTGCTCCCAATCAACAGCATCGGTCTTACTTTTACGCTGCGCTCTTGCTACCGTTGTCGCTGCCACTATCGCTGCTCGCCGCTGTTGTCACTGCTTGCCACTGTCGCCATTGCCGCTGCTCACTACTTGTCGTTGTTGTCTTACTCTTACTCACTCTTCTCACATCGACTCGATAGTATACTGTTAACAGTATATTAATAGTATACTGTTAACTGTATACTAGTAACAATATTTTTTATTTATTAGATTAATAATATATTATTTTAATTTTAATACTGCTAATTTTTATTTATTTGAAATTATTTTATTGTTTTGAATTTTAAGACTTTTTGTTAATGTGATATTGTGATTTTGGAAGATTTTCTTAATTTAATATCATATTTTTATTTAAATAATTATATTTATTAATTATATTATATATTTTTAAATTTAATATCAGATTTTCTTTGCTCGGGCGAGCGCCTAGCACCTCGGGCGTTTTTGGATCTTGGCACCTAGCGCTTTTTAAATCACTGATCTCTCAGAAATATATGACAAGATGAAAAAATTTGTTAAAGGCTCATAACAGTGGTCATTTTTAATGTAATATTATTAGAGAAACAAATCATAATTCATACACACCTTTCCTAAAAATATAGCACTGAAATTGACAATATGTTTCACTTATGCATTCACAATCATTTTAACAACTATAAAGCACAAGTTCAGCAAGTAAATAATAAATAAAACACTTCTTGCAAGCACTTCATTTGGAAGCAGGATGAATTTCACAATAGACTCAGAAGTCAGAATGATTACCAGCAATTGCTGCCAGGGTCATGTCATCCGAGTACCCCCCATCTTGAAGCCCACTAACAACTCCATACAAGTCGTTCCTAAAATCTTGAGCGTGCATCTAAGGATTAAAGACGATGTATAAGACATGCATATTTAAGCTTGTTAAGTTACATATGTATGTAACAAACAGTTTAAGATGCCTAAACTTTACCATCATGCAGCCTCCCCACAGAAAGAAAGTTTTTCCACCAGTTGCAAACCCCATAGAGCAAGGCTAAGATTAGAGAAAAACAATATACAAAGGTGAGTAAAATACATTCTAAAAATAAGTACAGAAGTAACTGGCACTGTTGAATTAAAAACAAGAATAAAAAAGGAAAAATGAAAATTCCATGTTGATATGTTTGTGGACAAATGTTGGTCATTCATAAACTACAAATCATGTTCATCAAGAATGTATAAGAGGCTTTAGCCTTGCAATCAATATAAGAGTAACTACTTAGATAATTCACCTATATGCTCCGACAAGACAAAAAAAGGGAGAAGTTGACAATGGATTCAAATACCAATTTGTGAAACAGAACTTACAGTCAAAGTAATGCACATCATATCTGCCAGAAATTGCCCACACTGGACAAAGAGGAAATAACATGGTCTAAGAAGCATATGCAGATGGAAATATCCCCATGATTTCAGCTTCCTTTTCAGAACAAACAAATAGGGCACATAAAGGCAAAAGAGAAGGATCTCCAGAATTAAACAATAAAAGAAGACAAAATCAAGCTTTTTTTTCCTTGAAACTTTCTTATAGGAATGTTGAAATTGATCCATGGAAACTAGCATTATCTATGGTGGTTTATGGTGAAATTCATAGTTGGTGGAAAAAAATGATAAATGTAAATTTTAGATTTTGCTTCTGTTAAAATATATCAGATGGTGGAACACTTTTAAAAAGGTAAAAATTATCGATGAATTCAAGCAGAGCATTATGCTGTCATATCACAATGGGGACTTGCAGCTACTAGGAAAAGGAGAAAAACCAAAAGCATGAATCAGATGTTTTCGTAAGCAGCTAAGGATGTAGATCACACTTCCAAGTTTGCTCATCTTCATGATGCAAATGTTATGCAATTAGAAAACAAGAGGATAGAAAAATGACCTATAAGAGGTCACTAATTTCATTGACAAAAAAAAGCTTGCTTAAAGAACTGAAATTCTAGTTTTTTCACAGATAAGCATCTGATGCATGTGTCTAAGTGTTAGCATCACAACCAAGGTTTGCCTTCTTGGGTACCAGACCCGTTTCGATAATCTGCTGGAATAGTATGTACTATGTACCAGTCTGTACCGGTGTACGGACATACAGTATGCCAATGCCTACCGGTATTTTGACGAGGAAGAAAAAGAGAGTGAAGTGAAAGGGACGATGGAGGAACAACGGAGGAAGGAAGAAGGAGAAAGGAAGAAGGAAGAATAAGAAAGTAGAGGAGGAGAAGAAGTGCAGCGACAGCATACCCAGGAAGCAGCGACAGCATCATAGTGGCAAAAAGGTAGTGCCGTTGCAGCATCGAAGCGGCGAAGAGGTGGTCCATGTGTCGGTCTGCATCTAAACAGGTACATACTGCCCATACACTAACGTTTCTGATAGTACAACAATCACTGATCACAACCATAATTAGTTCCATCCTTAAGACTGTTTCATGAAGAGACATTTGACAGTTTCATGCCTTAAGTGGAGGCATGGTCAATCACATAATATTTGGTTTAGTGGGCATTTTGTTTGGACGGTCAAAGGTGACTATAACTTCTGAACATTGGCAGAAAATGTCAAGCATTTAAATTTGGTCATAGTGGCTGGCTGATAGTGTAGCCAATTAGAAAGAGAGAACAAAAACAAGAAGCAATATATGTATGGGACAAAAATAGGAAAGATTAAATAGGCAAATGCTTTACATGGTAGCTAATGACCCATTCTGAAACTCATGACTCTGAAGAGGATATAAAACTTGATAAGAAATTAATATAGAATGAAAGTTTTAAAATACTCATACCATGTGATATTCATATATGCAGTAACTACCCAAGCTTCCTGAGGGCAAATCAAGAGGATATCCAGTTTGAATAAAAATCTGCAGAGAAAAAAATACAATTAATTTTGTACATGGAAAAAACTAAAGAGCATTATCGGCTGATTAACAGAGGTGTGAAACAGTGATGTGCCAATTGCAACAAATTTAATACCTCAGGGTTTTTCTCCATTTCTGTTGTAAGGGCTCCTATTGATCCAGGATGGAGTCTAATGTCATCATCCAGGAACAAAACATACTTGCTATCTTTATGCATCCTTTCCACACCAACCTGCAATAGACTTGCACGATTTTAAAAGATCATTATGTTTTAATTCTCATTTTAGGGGACACAGAAACTAATTAATGGAAGATAGCATTTGGCATATTGAATTTGAGGAGAATCAAATATATTAAGCATGAAGGATACTCCTAAAACAGTTCAATACAAGATTGCCAAGGTATGTTATCCTATTGCAAATTATATATTTATGAACAAAACTGTAATGTTTTGAACTTATGCCTTTAACCCCTCAAGATGTTTTTTTTTTCAATTAAGTAGCCTAGTTTTCTGAAGAAAATTTCTGTCAGCAGCCATTGAAAATTTTTTCGAAGACTAGCCTTCTTTTAATCTATGCCAAGTTGAAGTGGAGCAGTTATTGTAGTAAAAAACCATATCATTGACAACAGTTGATGCGTAAAAAAACTACTGTCGTTGACAGTAGTTCTCCTTTATCAATAACACTTCTAACATTGTCCAAAACGAGGCTACTCTCAGAAATTATTTTTCTGAGATGAGGCTAGTCAAGAAAGGTCTTTCTGAAAATGAGTCTTATCAGGGAAAAACACCTCAAACAGTTAGCTGTTCATAGGGGGTTAATTCATAAGATATACTGTACAAACAGTTAGCTGAAAATGAGTCTTATCAGGGAAAAAAACCTCAAACAGTTAGCTTTAATGAGATATACTTTGCAATGTAGATGAAAAGCTATTTACAAATTTGCTGAAAGGCTCTTATTGCAATAGGGGGTTAATTCATAAGGGGTTTAAGCTCAGGAAAAGACATAGCACATGCAAATGCAAACACATTGAATGTGGACCAAGCGACAAAATCCAATGGCTTCCTGATTTCTAAATTTTAGCAGGATGAGATCAACCGAAGACTTCCTTTTATCAATGAATAGGTCAGAATGTCTTGGTTTCTACAGAAATGACTGTAATGAGTAACCTATTAACATGGTATATTTAAAGTATTCAAAAACTTAGAAACAGAGTATGGCCAGAAATCATGACTTTCCAGAAAATTTTAGAACCTATGAAATGCAGGTAGCAGAAATGTTTTGGTTTATAGAAGTGAAAAATGATGTTGAATTAACACATTGCATAATCTTAACAAAGGGTCATTCGTGCTATGTTATTTTTAACTCCTTTTCGGAACTTCAGCAAAGTAATACAAATTATACATCTTATATAATTTTATGTATACCACGTGGTTCAAAACTCCATCTTGTTATGAAAATGTTGAACCTTATGCCTCTTTTTTACTCTATGATATCAAGGGAAAACAAGAACAAAATTAAAAGCATAGACAAGGGAAAAGCATTGTTTAAATGGCAGTAGTCTCTTGTCAAAATGACAAGATCAAAAGTAGCTTTATGTACCAATTGATTATGAATCTTCTGACTGCATGTTTTTGACAGGCCAGCTATGACAATCTTCGCATCAACACTCTCCTGAAAATCATTCATGCATAATTTTTGGTCAGGTATTTCAAAAGAGATTGATAGGCATCTAGAACAAGCAGTTAAAAACTAGTAGATAAATGTTAAAACCCATGCAAAATGAAGTTTCATTGTGTTTTTAACTAAATCGAGATAACATACATCACTGGATATGTTCTGCAGATGTCCATAGGTAGCAAAAGGTTACAGAATTGATAATTGTAAATAAAGGTCATACTAAAGAACATCAAGTTTCTATTCTATATAAAAAACTTCTGTGTCATCTAAGAACTCATGAGGTGAAAGAGAATGGATGTTAAAAAATAGCAGAGGCATATATAACTAGCATTAACATCCAAAAACTGCACACAATTGGCAAGTTGAAAATTGATCAAGGTACTGCCTCATATGTAAGAAGCAGAATCCAAAGCAAAGCATATTTACCTGAAACTCTAAGATGAGTGAAGACACTGCATGGTAAGCTGGATCTTCGGCACTTTCAACTACAAAAAGAAACTCTAGAGGTCCTCCATAGAGAGAAGTAATCTGCATTCAAAAATTCAGAAAATATTTTAGTCTGTTGAAATTCCACTGATATGAGAGAAACCATGTGTTAATAAACATGCGATGCAAAATAGATACGCCATAAATATTTCCTTGAAATATATGTAATATCCACAGTTCTAGCAAGGAAACTTTTTTAATAAATAACAATAACTCACTTGGGTTCTCCAGTTTTGCAAATTGTGTTCTCCAAAGCCTTTCAAAGGCATTATAACTGACACTCTAGGTAAATTCAGCTGAGCAGAGTGTTCAAGATCATTAATATCTTCACAGATGAATGCAAAGCTATTGCCATTTGCAATATTAAGCTTCATGCGCTGTATAACTCTATTCCTGTAAAGGGAAAGAAACCGCAACATGTGTTTCCATATGTCATATAACAAAAGGTTGCATACCAACCAAGTATCTAAAATTATTTTGCTATTGTTCGGAAAATAATACCTGACATAGGCAGCAAAGCCCCATCCAACAGCAAGAGTTAAACAGATTATACAACCCTACAAACAAAAAAGGGTTGCTTTAGTTGTTTCTTTTACAGATTTCACTTAAAATAAAGAGCACATATAGCTGACTGTAAAGTAAAATAGTATAATCTACATATTTACAATAAAAGTAGATTGAGTTTCTGCTGCACATGCATCTCAAATGTGACAGAATGATAATCCCTTTGATGATTTGACAGGAGAGGACATCACACCAAAAAACTCAAGCCTCGATATTTCTACATCACTCTTCTTTTCCAATCCAAAAATTCAACATCCATTCATCATAAATTTTTAAAATCCTCCAAGTTGATCTATCTGTTCCTATCCATTATATAATTCTAAAGAAATAATCTACTTCTCAAATTAGTGTACCCTCTCACATTGTTTGATCTTCTATTGTTTGGTTTATCTTTCAACCATTCCACATTCTGCATTCAATGTTCTTGGTGGAAAATACTTCTCCAAGTCGCATATATGGATCCCAAACATTCATGATATGTATGTCAATGAGTCTCCTAATATTTATCTGGCTCTTCTCCTGCATGTTATTGTCAATGTGTTCTATTCTTAAGCCACAAACTCTTGCAATTTTCTTTCAAGAAGTGTCTGAGATATATGGCATCTCATAATGAGTAGATTCTACAATAAATCATGCCTAGTAAACTCACAAATTGTTCACTTAGTAAGAAGAGTTTAGCTTCATATGAAGACGGGAATCCCCAAATCTTTCCTTTTAACTGAAATTAAAAAATTGTATCTATCAACTCAAAGGATAAATTAGTAAACAACGGCATTTAATATATGATCACCATCAAGTTTGTCATTGTTCTTACAAGACTCATCATCTAATAATTTGATGAAGATTTGGTGGTCATCAACTAGATATTTGTACAAAAATAGGACAACACCTGCATCTCAATGGCACTTTAGGAGCCATCAGCTTTATAATTTGACCATAGATCTATTCATTTTGCTTATTATACTCCAATAGAGTGAATGCCCAAATGTCATTAATAAATTACAAACATGAAATTGCAACATCGTCAAATCCACTAATTAAATATTCTTTGGAACCCTATCTAATTTAATTAGTGTTTCTCGAACACATGAAGGCGTTACATGCCAACTCACCACCTCTTCATCAAATACAACTCCTCCTTTACTGTCTACCAATGGAACCAGGAATGAAATGGCCAATAATCTCTAAACCGGTTCAAGAAGAAGACAACATGGTCCAGTCCGCGCATAAATGAGGGAGACACCAGAGCCTCAAATCCGTCAATCGGCATTGAAGGCGGAAAGAAAACAACCAAAAAAAAAGAAACAGGGCACACCCGGACGCCAAAAAGAATCGGAGGAAGAAGCAACCACATACCAAGAAGAATCGATCGAATGTGCCTACCTGGATCTGGATGAAGACGGCGAGGGGGCTGCAGCAAGCTCTGCTCGCCGCGGCCAATAACGAGTCGAAAGCCTCAAACGCCTCCATTTCCTCCCCCCCTCTTTGGCGCCCGGACCCGACCACGGACACGAGCCCTAATCCCCCCGGTTCCTAATAAAGATCGAAGCTTTCTCGTCCTCTCCTCCTCTCCGTAGGCGAAATAAACGGTGGGCAGGAGGAGGAGAGACGAAAGAACTCTGGGAAGCCAATGTTGGTGTAATATATATATCTATTATATAGAAAGTAACGTCATACCGACGGAATATACGCGCATCACGTACGACATTCGATCCAGAGCTCCCCAGCGTCGCGTGTGATGCCAAGTAGGATGAGAACCCGTGGGTGCAGATCACTCTTCGTACGAAATATTGGCGTAATATATATATCCATTATATAGAAAGTAGCGCCACACCGACGGAATATACGCGCATCTCGTACGAGATGCGATCCAGAGCTCCCCAACGTCGCGTGTGATGCCAAGTAGGATGAGACCGCGTGGGTGTCCGTTACCTTCGTACATAATAAATTGGGGACCATTTCTCGAGGTGACCGGGGATTGGTGCGCGGCGCCGAGAAAGGAAGCCAGCGTGCATGGCGACACCCTCTTCGCCACGTGTAAACCCCGAATAGGAAAGCGGTTGATGAGAAGGTGCTGCTCGGCTGTCTTCGCCATTCAGGGTACACATTTTTCCACCAAGCAAAAATTGACACGTGCCAGGCAGACTACATGAAGAAATAGATATTACCTTTAAAAAGAAAAAAAAAAAAGAATGAGAGAGAGAGAGAGAGAGAGAATATTGTCTTCTCTATAAACATGTGAGATTTTTTACATTCAAAAAATTATCTAACAAGTTTGAAACAAAATTGGTGAAGCATAAAGGGAATGCCTTTCAAAATCACAACATCATCTCATTGTTTCTTCAAATGAGATGAACCTACAACCACTTAAAATACACATTTTATTACTATCTCTTAATAAAAGAAAAAAACTGTACTCATCAGAGCTTTTTTCCTCTTTTCAAAAATCAAAATTATCATAATTAGTATTTTACTTAATTTGGATTTATTTATTTTCTTGTTTATGTAATCTGAATAAGCAAATACTTAAAATCTGTTTACTAAATAATTAATATGATGTGAGCAAATTATGTATATATAAGGGTGGTGAGGCTCCTCCTTTGTTCTTCACAGTAGGAGAATTTTAGGGAGGAGAGGAATCTCCATCTTGATAATGATTCTTTTTATTTTATTTTAATTATGGTGACTTAATCGATTTATGTGCCATGATAATATTTTTATTGAATTAGTTGCTTATGAGAATTTCACGTTTAAATTTAGATATTTCAATGTCTATTTGACAAAAAAAAGGGATTGAAATTGATTTGAATTTCCCATCAATGGAGTGAGAGGAACAAAAATGCAAGCAAGCATTCAAGACAAGTGTGGAATATAATTTTTCTTCGTTGCCTCCATTTGACAGAATACATTAAACTATTCTGCAATGAACAGTAGTTTGATGCATTGCAGAACGGAAGAAGAATTTATTGTCTGCTCAGAACATGAAGTAGGCAGAACCGGAGATGGCTGCGACGACAGCCGCAGAGGCCACACCATTGAGGGAGGCGCCGCTTTTGGTCTCGCCCTCCGGCTTGGTCGTGGTGGTCCCGAGCGGAGCACCGACGCCGCCGGCGTCGCTGTCGTCGACATCGCCCGAAGGAGAGTCGGCGTCGGCTGGTAGGGGCGAGGTGGCGATCGGAGTCAGGACGCTGAGCATGGCGGAGCCAGACGGGGAGGCGGCGGGGGCTGAGTCGGCGGAGGCATAGGCGACGACGACGACGAGGAGGAGGGCGAGGACGAAGACGAGCTGCGTGCGTGCCATGACGGATTAGCGGAGGGTGGCGGTGGCCTTTATCGTAGTCGAAGTAGTAGTAGTAGTAGTAGTAGTCGCAATGGAGGATGGAAGGGAAGGGAAGGGTATGGGGAGTAATATATAGTGTCGTCGACGGTTGTTGCAGTTAATAACCGCCTTCCTTCTGGTTCGGAGGAGAGCGGGTCCCACGGGCAGGCGTTTGACCCGTTCACCTCCTCCAAATATGGAGGTAAAGATCGGGGAATAGTGCACCTCTCGAATCCATCCTTCTTTTTGATTTATTGTATGAGGAATTTTTTGGGTAATAATTCAACGATGTATCCGTTGATATTAATCTTAGTTAAATGAAATTAATATATTATGATCAGACTAATATTCGATGTACAATTTGGATTCAATAACTTGATGTTATTATTTTCTTTTTATTGCTTAGATCTAATCTCCCTACAAGTGGAGACATCGTTCTTCTGTAGGATTTGTTTATCGTAGCAGAACTTATGATGCTGAATATTAGAGATTGGTCAACTTTGTTGTTTGGTTAAGTTGACTTAACAAACTTTGCAACAGAGTCAAACTTCTCTATCCAAAGAATTTATTGGAAAAACACAAGGGTGATTACCAGTGTTAATATCAAAATAGATAATTAATTACTTTGTCGACTGCGTAATAGCCTGTTCATCATACAGGAGATTAAACTCTACATGTTTCTACCTGCATGCATCTCAAGAGAAGGGGGTTGAAAAGTGGCAGCAACATCTTAAACTTAAATGTTTGTATACAACAGAAAGTCTAGGCATAATAAAAAAAGGATTTCTTGCTTTTTTTTTTTTTTTTGCTCTCATCCGACAGCTCTTGAGGTAGCCACCTCAGCTCGGAAGTCGGAGAACTTTGGAACAGAAGTTTCGGATGGTCCCTTATCTTGTTGATGCATGAAATGAATCTGAAGCAAAAATAGACAACTTTAGGAAGTCGATACAACCATGGATTGTGAGAAAACAAAAGAAGATCATGGAAAAGTGTCAACCTGATTCTTTGACTGAGGACATGAAACAGCATCAAATCTGAAACTTTTAAGACTCTCTGCTGGCTAGGCTGGAGAAGGATCAAGATTCCAAACCATTACCATCTGTACAGTGAAGGTCCAGCTTGAGGTACCATGAAGAAAACAAAATTAATCATCACATTAAGCTGCTGTTCCTAAATACTTTATGCCTACTGCTCAGAAGTTCCTTTTTTTTTTTTCCCAAACTGATGATCTTGTAGTACAAAAGGTACAACTATTTTTTGCCAAGGTGGTCGGGACTCGATGCAACACCACCAATAGAATAGGTAAAGAAAAGACCACCTTCTCTGCCATTAAAATAAACACATGAAACAACAATACTACGCCGATTTCGTTGGTCAGAAAATGTCGACTGGCTAAATTTTGTCGATTTCTGTCTCTTCATCTCTTTCATCAAGGGAATTTTCTGAAGTCTGGTCACCATTGGAAGCGGCTTGTTCCTGAAAATAAGGCATAATCCACAATAAGATGAGTAGATATATATCCAACATTCTTTGGATAGGAGGGTCTTCAAAGATTTCATGTGGCTATAGCCAGCAAAACTCAAATATAACAAGCATAACTTTCAGATCAAAATATCTTTCAAGCAATTTATCCCACCTCAAGGGAATATGATGATATATTGGCTTACATGCATAGCCAGCAAGCTAATTTAAAATGTCTCGTACTATTATGTAATTCCTATTTATTCCTCTCTAAACAGCCACTAAATGCAAAATAACAAAATCCATGCGTCATCTTGTTGTTTTGATTCCTTGGAATAATTCCACCTGAATTCCATGGTTTTGATACCCCACTCATTCCACCTGAAATTTAATGATTTTCTCTTTACCCTTGTGATGACATAAGAAACATCAATATTGATACATCTCCAAGATCCCTAACATATCTACACTCCACATGACACACTTGAATTTCATACCCTCACATTTCAAGTAAGAGAAACCAATAACTACACTATATTAGGTTAAAAAATGAGTTAAAGTGAAGTATAAAAGCAGGTTTCAATAGGATGGGGACAATGGCATCCATGCTTTTCATTGGTACGAGTACAACTTCTTTAGAGTTTGATTGAACCAAGTAGAAACCACTATAATAACATAATATACACCAAATATATCCCTTTATGCAATTACTAACTGAGCATGATAAATAATAATTCATCTTACAAATCAGTGCACTTCGAAAGAGCTTTGAATTAAATCCATACATGAAACTCACACAATAGGAAAAAACCCTTAGCTGTGCAGAGGGTACCTTATGGACGTTCTGAAGAAATAGTCCATCCTTATTTGTGGTCATGGTTTTTGAGTTAAGCCCTCCATTTTCACTCGGAGACACATGCAGTTCTGTTTCTTTCTTTAAAACCTGTTTTATTTGCCAATAATACGAATAAACAAAAGTTCTATCAACAATCACGAACAACAATATAACATGAATTGCCACTGAGACTATCAGCTTTTACCATATTATCAGTTTTCTCAACTGATTTATCGCTATCAATTGATGTAGCTTCCAAACTTTGCATAATAATTACAGAGGAATCTTCAGCTCCCTCCTGCATCCTTTTCTTCTCTTCTTCCCTCTGCTTCCTTCTCCAAGCCTCTTCCTCCTTAATTTGCTTAAACCTGCATCAAACTGCTTAGCAACTCATGCAACTCAATCAATGGATTATTATAGTAAGACCATTGAGAGATATTAAACAAAGGTTAACCTTTCACCACGTCTTAATCCATCAGATATTTCTTCTTGTTGTCCTTGACTGGATTTTGACATTTCAATCTCAGAAACAGACTTCTGCATTAAGGATGGTGTCTTCTGCCTCTCGGAGGCTTCATCTCTGGTTGCACTATTAATGTAATCTTGAACTGGATTGTTGGCACCTCCCAGCTTTTGAAGCCATATTTGTTGTGCAGTGCTCAGAATATTGTTTGTCAGCCTACAAAATGAAAAAAACTGATCAGATGTTACATGGTTAACGACAGCCTTTTAAGGTGCCCGATACTCTACATAGCGAACAACCTATTATATAAATGGCTAACATAGTATTCATTCCACATAGTATTATGATTGGAGTTGCTATGAATAGCTGCTATAAAGTTCCATAAACCTCATATTTCAGATCATATAGAAGTAAACATAAAAAATGTAACATTCAAAAAGCAAAATCAACTTTAGCTAGACTGATGGAGTTAGCCGTCTATTTCTAGGAGCTATACACATTTAAACAGTTTGAACTAAAAGGTTAGAAGTAAAGGTCCAGAACCCATAGCAATGTCACATAACCAAACTATGTTAGACTAAACTAAAAGTTTAGTCTAAAATTGTACACAACCTCTTTTAAACTGTCTTATGTTAGGAAATAAGAAGATAGCACCAAGTAATCTAAGTGAGAAAAGGTGCTCCAAGAAACAGAAGAAACTACAGGCCGCATGAATTCATAAGTGAAAAGCAGACCAAAATATTTAATAGTGAGACAATCCAATGTAGTGTTTATACACATCAATTTCATAAAAATATAGCAATGTAAAATAACACGTTATGAAATATGGACAGCCAGGACCTGACAGCAAGGTAACAAAAACCCACCCAGTCCAAACTTCATTCAAACACAAGAGCCATGAATCTGCATTAAAAAATGCTTTTGTGAAAAATCATCCTAGGTTTACCATATGGAGGCATGATGCCAATCGGTTTGTTTAAACAGTTATTTCTATTATCTACAGATCCTCCATTTTGCCAGCTGCATGGAGAAAATTATTAATACTCCAACAGAATACAAAATGTCAATCAATGAACTGTGTAGAATGCTTGTGGAAATAGTACAGTGATGTCTTAACGAATTATTAGGAGGTAAATGATAACATTATTACTGTTGCCTTGGATAGATAAATAGCTCCCTTGAGGCCAAAAATCCTTACATCACATCAAATTATGATAAACCACAGGTAGAACTTATTCACAGAGAGCAAAACATCATAGAATCATGGATGAAAGTCAATGACACCTGCTCACCAATATAGACTCAAGCCTGAAGGAACTGAAAGAGCAAAGTAACCAATCATCAGCGGAAGAAACTTTGTTACAGCTTGAGCATTCTGCTGGCTAGGATCATTACCCTGTTACACAATTATTAGAACTTTTAAAAAGACTATTTCAACATAATCCACAAAAATTGTAATTTACTCAGTTTGATGCTTTGTTTCTGTTGCTAGAAAAGAATCATAGCTGCAGGATTTGCAAAGTTTATGATAAGAGAGATGTACAAAAGAAGTTACATAAAAGCTGCTTCAACCTTTTCTTAGAGGAAAAGCCATAAAGACAAAAATCAATCTTGCTTTCTTCCCAATATCAAGAAATAGATGTAGTTTTTCAGAATCATGTTGATGCACTCTTTCAAAATGCACTCAAGCTTAATTCTACAATTCTGCAAGCTGACCAAAAAGATTATATGTCCTGAGAAAATTGTACATACCATGTTTGTCAGTGAAACATACTCATAACTCATGACAAGCTGCAACCAAGCAGAAGGTAGCAAATAGTCTAAATGGCATTCCTAATTTGCAGATTTAGAATGAGGATGCCCTTGTTTGGTCTCAACGATTCTACACATGAAAATTTTAACCTTAGAGGGAGAGTCTCAATTCTGGAAGGCTTTCTAAGATGCAGAAAGTACCACGTAAGCTAGGGAAAATTATTTAAGTAAATAACTCGTGTGAAATGCTTCTTCCATGAGCCTCTTAACCACGATGAAAAAAGTGACATCATGAAGTGGTGGCAAGACTGAACCACTTTAAGCCCCTGATGTTAAAAATAAAAATACCAAGCCCTCTGACAAATGACTCTTGCAAACTGAATCAAGTTAACTAGGCATCAACCTGTCCGAGGTGAACCACTTACATTTCCCGGAGCATAGAACAATTTCTATGTTTTAATCTGTCAATTAGGAAGAATGAGAAATAGAAATATAGAAAGTGTTAATGTGAAAGAGAAATTGGTGCAGTGGCCTAAAACTCATTTATCCTGTTTGGTAATAAAACTTTGCCAATCTACGTTGTGTAAAGCATAGATACAAGGTGGAGAATTAAATAATTAAGAAGTTGGATGAGGTGCAGGACAAGATATTAAAAAGCTATGAGCATTGATGTAGAGGAGAATTTGATCAAGAAATTTGCCTTTTTCTTTTGGAGGAAACAAAAAACAAGGGCGTTAGCCTCGAGCAAAAAAAAGGGTAAGAAACGAAGACCACGGGACACAAGGAACAATGGCTCAGAAAGTTATTGTAAAGGAAAGAGGCACCTCAATAATTGGAGGCAATGGTACAAAAGTTTCTAAAGATACCTATCACCTTTTCAAAGATTCTTAACCAAACAATCCTTGATTTGAAGTTTCAGTTGCATCTAAAAATGAAATAGCACTTTCAGAATTTAGAAAGAAACTTTGATTTCACTTTCAAAGATAATATCTACTATAACAATCAATAAAGGATATGAGATATTTGAATGATCAACACATGCATGGAATTACAAATAGGCACAAAACCTACAGAAACCAACCCAGTAACTTTACATTCTCTGCTTACAGATGCAAAGGCTTTATGAGCATCTTACCCATAGTTTCATGCAAGAACTAATCAAGATCATATAGCTCCATACCCAACTTTTAAGGATATACAAATGTTTGTATGCATGTAACATGATGATATTTGCCAGAAAATTTAAAAAATAAACTAACCTGTGTTGGCTGCATGATCTGTGCTGATATATATTGTGAGATAACAAGTAACACTGGCAGAACAAGATAAGCAAATGTATCTGACCACCCAAGGGGTGGATGACCATCCTGCAACATGAGCAGCCACAAAATAACTGAGAATCCTTTCTTTAGTTTTTGAAAAAAATAATTAACATAACTGAGTATAATGAGTGAAACGCATAGCTAGTACATAATTGAGTAAGATGAACAGAAGAAAGGTCCCACATAGTTGGGAGTCTAAAAGTCATGTAAATAATAACTAAAACTATTAAGTTTAATAATTATGGTTAACAGCTAGTATAAAAGTGGAACTTCATATATTTAATTGATGCAAGTTGAGCTGGACCAGGTCAATGAATGACAGCCTCTTTTGAGACACAGAAAAGAGACTAGTTTCATGAAACACTTCACTGTATTTAAAATCAACATAATTTTCCTAGTTTCGAACACTATCTTATATTTAAATGAACTTCCTGGTTTTCAACACCTGTTATCAGAGAAGTACTGTCACTATTTTAATTTTCTACAAGGGTTTTGTCAACAATATTCGAAAACTATGTGGTAGATAAACAGCCAAGATTCCACACACATCTTGGGGTTAGAGAACAGTTAAGTTATCAAAACAATGCAAAAAAATTCAAAACTTATATGTATCTAATATACTTAAAAAATCAATATAATGGGTATGTTTACCAATTAATCCATAAAATAAATTTTGCCCTTAATAGAATGCAGGGGTGAGCCTGTGCTACCTTAACGGTTTCAACTATATTTGAACCACATGAAAGATGGGAAGGGGAAAAAGCGGACGAGAAAGGAGAGGAGAAAAAAGAGGAGAAAGGAAAAGTTACTATCATAACTTCTGTTTGACACAGAAGTCATCTATTTTCCCCAAAATGTAAGTGCATCCTTCTTTTTTCATCCTCTCCCTCTTCTCACTTTGTTGGAAAAAGAAAATTATGCAGCAACTCTTTCCGCGGAAAGTTAAGAGATGTAATTTGATTTACCAATTCATAATCGGTTATTTCATGGTTTATTGGGGAACATGCTCCACAATTTTAATGTCCAGATTAAAGAAACCACGTAAACAATAAACACTATTTAGCTGCCTTCGCATTCTTGATCGTCAATTGGATTTCGAGGCCTTAGACAAAAATGCAAAGGTGGCCACCTTGTCTAAGGCATCCACTTGAAACAACAGGTGTTGGTATTTTGGCATAACTTTGGTGAATAGATTGGTAGTAAAATTTCCAACAAAACCCTAATTCGAGTTCTTATATAGCTACGTTAGATGGTTTATAAAATAAGTCTCCATTACCACGTATAAAATCAGTTTCAGACTTGATAGGAATCTCGTCCAAGAGTTTTTGGATTTGTGCTGGTTATTTGGTAATATTAAACACATGGTGCTGACTTGTACAATCGATTTCACATTCTTTAAAAAATTTTGATATCTGTCTTCCTTTTACAATTCTAGTGCAAAGAATTATGACTAATTTTCTCCTAAACCCTCTACTATTTCTTCTTTTTCTCCACCTCTTGCAACAATGCACTCTCTTTGTGGTAGAACTAGAACGAATAGACAATATGAAAATAATTTTTGAATGACAGTAGAAAAGATAATGTGCCTTCTATTACCTTTGAGTATTTGTGAAGTACACATTGATAACAAATTCTTCCATTACTTACAAACACTATTCTCATTATCTGATAGCATATCCAATTCATATTTCACCGACCCCAAATTAATGTGGTTATAGCTTCCATCTTAGCACTGTCATAATTGTTTTTAGTGGATAACATTTCAACTTTAGAATAACGCATATCCAAAAAGGTGTTTTGATTGATGCTCATTGAGCACTATATTGAATGCTGCCCCAACCTGTGCTAGCATGACGCTGACAAGTTGGTGCTGATCTATACAATCTGCATGTATCATGCCAACAAGGATACCACGATGGCCCTTGTTCCTTTAAAACAGTGATGGCAATTTCGTGCAGTTCGCTGGGTGAAATTTATTCTGTTCAAGCCCAAATCACGATGTGGATCACCCCCATTTCGGGTGGTCCAGTCCGGTCCACTAAAAAAAATGTTTGAAGAGATGTCAAAAGTTATGATTACGGACGGCTTGTGACTTCTCCCTCTCCACACACCAAAAGTTATCGTCTGCCCACCACATGCCCCAACATGGTTTTGAGCATGCTTCCTCCTCGTCTCCTCCATCGCCTCCTCTTCCTGTTTTTTTTCCTTCTTCTTCTTCCTTCTTGTTCCTCCTCTTCCTTCTTCCCCTTCTTCATTCTTCCTCTTCCTTCTTCCTCCCCTCCTCTCCCTCCCCTAACGGTTCACAATAAGTTCCAACATATCAACACACGATACATAGGAATCGACCGTAGTGGCCTGACCATGGACCCGCACAGGAATCTTGCTTGAAACGACAAATTTACCACTAATTATGATTATTAAACATGTTTAGAATTAGAAACTCTAAAAGAGAGTATTGCCAAGACCGGAAAATGGCATGATGATCTCATATTCGATATTCAGGCACAAAAGCTAGAGCACTTGTATAGTCTAAACTCTAAAGAAATGAGAGCTTATGACTAGCCCATCTATATCACATCCAAGATTGTGACATGTCCTCATTTGCTCATCAACAAATTTACCACTCTTTTCAATATGGATAGTATGACTTTTGCAACTATCATACATCAGTAAATGTCATAATATTTGCAAAACTTGGCAGAGTGCATTTTCAAAGGACAATTGTTCAGTACTCCATAATTTTATCAGACAAACATGAAGCTACATTTATAACTATAAAATATGATGACAATATTAAAAAATCATATACAGCATACTTACAACAAAGGGAAAAAGCCAAGAGATTCCGCTACCATTTTGCCTGGCTGCAATTGTAGTAGGACCAGCCAAAGAAGGTATCCAGAAAAATCCTTCAGTAAGGAGTCCCTTTAATATAGATTTCAAGGTCAGATATCTATAGAGATGATAAATAAATCTACAACATAATCAATTGATAAAATTTGCAACCTCATTAGCAACATTTGACAGAGCCCTATATAGTCCAATCCATATGGGGATTGTTGCCAAAGTAGGCAAGCATCCTGACGATGAAAATGTTCAAGAAATTACATCAAATGCAATGATAACAGTTAACGATCACAATGCTTGAAACATAAAGGCAATTCTATTGTAAGGACATACGAAGTGGTGTATAACGACATTGTAAAGATTGCAGTAAGTAACAAGTCTCTACCATGCCAATATAATTGCCAAGCATGCATATACATGTACTTGTCGCAAAGGATACACAATAATCAAACTAAGATAAAATTATAGTAAAGAGCAAGGACTGCTGTACCGCCCAAAAATGAAACGAGTGGTACGTAATCGGACGGTCTGGTCCAACTCATATTAAAAAAAACCTAAAACAGCAATGAGGGCTCGTGAAAGCAAGCCCTCTTCTAGCCACTGCCCTCTTCTCACGATGCCGTTGCCACCACCATTGTCATTGCCGCCTATCTCCCTAGTGCACTCCATCTTCTTCTTCTTCTCCTCCTCTTCTTACTTCTTCCTTCTCCTCCTCCATCACTTCCTCTTCTTCATTCTTCTTTCTCCTGCACCGCTTTCTCTTCATCCTTCTTCCTCCTTGTCCTCCATTGCTTCCCCTTCCTTCCTCTTGTTTCCTCTTCTTCTTCTTCCTCCTCCACTATGCCTTTCTCTTCTCCTTCTTTGTCTTCGAAACACTGGTACATACCAATGTACCATGTCTTGGTACCAATTGGTACGGGACTGGTCTGGCCAGTGACCAGTATGGGTCTGGTACACTATACGGCAGTCCTCAGTAAAGAGTGCTTATGTTCTGAGCCTATCCTGATTAGGTCATACTGAAAGTAGAAATTTCTTGAACACTCAAACAAAAGTTTTACTGCCCTAAACAAATCTCTACAACCATACAAATGCATATGCCAATTGCTAAAGAAGGTGCTGAACATTCACAAAAAACAGTGCAAGAAGGTAAACACGGATAAATTAGCAAGAAATGTCAACAGGATTTTTAAGCAAAGAAACCACATAATAACCAGTATAACTATAAGTGCCAGTTTTTAAATTCTGTTCTACTTTCAAGTTCTAACCATCATATACAACAGGCTGGTATCTCATAGGCAATTGTTAACAAACAGATCGGAACCGACTGAAAACCAGCCTAAGTAGATCAAGCCAAGCTCCAGCTGGCTTCACAAGATGAGACCTGACCAGATTTCTGGAGGCTCCTGATGTATGTTTTTGAGTTGGATTTCATTTAGGAGCAGCTGGACTATATCAGAAAAAAATAGAAATGGAAATTTGCTTCAACAAGAATTCCTATGCACGTTTGGAGAAGGCCAGCAGTCTATATTAAATGGAAAGCAACTTAAAGTTCTAACTAAGTACTATTTACTATAGAAGGACAGGACAACTTGGCAATTACTAATCCCTATCTGAATAGAGTGAAGGGGGTAGTAGTGTAGCAAAGATGCTGTAGAAATTATTATATGTTTTCTAGTATAACATGGAATTATGGTTGAAATTGAATTTAAGGCATTAGTAACCCATGTATCGGTGATTTCAAAACCTTAAAATTCATTTGAAGACTTATTATTCTGTTTATACAAGTAAATTTGTGACAATTCTGTAGAATTCTCTTTCTTCTCAATTATTCTTCCTTGGTTGACCTATTGCACTCCTCACATAGGTGAATGCCCTAATAGAAGAGTCATATCATATCAAAAACATACAAAGTTTATAACTAAATAATGCAAGTAAAACCAAGTATTACAGAACTTAAGCATGAAATAACCCAGAATGTAATTCAGGTATGCCACAAAGATGCAGCCACATTCTCACACTAAAACATGCCATGATTGAGAAAGCAACACCCAACGCTAGACACATAGGCATGACAGATGATTCTTCAATCCTGTATAATACAATTCTTGGGAGGACATGAGAATATACTTTTGGTTCAAAAGTTCAAGTTAAATTGTTATAGACTCATACTACTGACTGATCACATCAAAATCAAAAGGCTGCTGAAGGAACAAATCCTCTGGCATGTGAAGATATTATTTTATACCATAATGCATAAGATTTAATTACTCTTAATTTAATCAAGAATATGACTTTTTACAGTTAAACGGCGACAAAAGATTCAAGCAGCCAAACCCAAATAGTTGAGAGATTACTGTTTTGTGTTGTTATTGTTATAGATATTAGATAGCACTTTATATCTATAAAATATTGTCGTCATCCATATATCAAAATATTTTCAGTTAAGCAATAATGGAACAACCTATATTTTGTCGTGATCAAAATGCTAAAAGAGCAAATTCTCTGGAATGTGAACTGATAAGATACATGGCGTGCTTTCAATGTACTATATATTTCTAGCTTTCAATGTACATGGCGTGTCTTCAGTTAAATAGCTCCACTGACCCAATGGTGTGTATGTGTTGCTCTAACCGTCAATATGCAGAATTTCTAGCTTTTGTTTCATAGAAAGATAATTTATGTACCACAATTATATCTTGGCAAGCATAAAATGCTTAGAAGGATCCCAAAAAATCTGCAAAAGCAACTGACAAGGGAAAAAATTATAAATGATAAAGAGTAAAAATGAAGATATTATTTCTTAAAAATCATCGATATAACAACTAGGAAGTTCCCCTTTACAGAAAAAAAAAAACAGAAAAGCAAAAGAAAAAAGGCATGAGACAGCAATTATATATCTCACCAGCCAAAGGGTTTATGCCAGCCAATTTATACAAGCGAGCAGTTTCCAGTTGTATCCTTTCCTGAAAATATACGAACAATGTATCTTGAGAAACACCTCAACCTTTATAGCTCTAAGAATACATAGTAGTTCTAGTATCAAACTTATCTTCTGTAAAATAACCTATAGCTATTTTAATTCTCAATTTTCATAAGAGATTCTCTATATAAATAATAGAAACCAACAAAAATGACAACAGGAATATGATAACAGTACAAGCCCCATGTGTTTACTCGAAAAGGCAACCCCTCAAAGAGGCAGAAACAATTAGCTGTACAAAACAGACAGCTACAACCTTTGTTGTATGTAAGGTGAACATTTTAATCACCAACCACTCTCTCAAGTCATTTAGTACTCAAGTCAACAGCCATAGGAAAGGGATACAAGAATGAGGTGGCTTATTATATTAATAAATTACCTGATCACCAGCATAACGTTGTTGTATAGCCTTCACTTGAGGTTGCAATGATCGCATTGCTAGTGCTGATTCAACCTGCAAAAATCATTTACTATAGGTGAATGTAGTCTAAAACAACAACTATTTATTTGTAGTAACAAGATTTGAACTTGAAGTGTAGGAAGCAATAAGATATAGATTTTCCAGTATTTCGCTTAGTAGAATAGAACCAGTAAACTCAAAGACATATCATAGTCATCAAAATATGAATGAGAAAAGAAGTAAAAAAGCAGTATCATATCACAATTAATATGAAAATATCAATATCCTAAAAGTTGCTAGGTTTTTATATAATAAGACCTATAATACGTGCCATACGAATAATATTTCAAATTTTCAATAAATATTTACCATTCAATATGGTAAAAGTTGCTAGGTTTTTATGTAAGAAGACATATAGTATGTGCCATATGAATAATATTTCAATACAAAGTAACCAGTCAACATCCTAAAAGTTGCTAGGTTTATATATGAGAAGACCTATAGTATGTGTCATACGAAAAATGTTCAATATAAATTTATCATTCTTACCATGTCGAAAAGTTTACACTAATTGGATTTTATTTGGATCAATATGTACTAGATGACGCTTTTTACAGATCTCAATGATGGTAAAAGATCTATACAACCGACCACAAATAGTTGGAACTTATATTTTTATTGTTGTTGTATGTACCAGATGGCATGCCCAGTACAATACGGTATTTAAAACATTCACCGAAAATATTTTATTTCTTTTACAAGGAAATCGTACAATTCTTGATGAACGTCAGGATCAACAAGAACAACCCTGTTAACCTCAACTATTAAATTCAGATTTGGGTTACCTGAGACCCTCTTAAAGAAATTGCTATTCATTCCATTTCCTTTAGAGTAAACAAGAATATATTTTTGCCTTCATCTCATGACGTCAGTGAGAGTTCTTTGATTCTTCTGCAATGACGATCACAAAGGCTTGTCCAATTCTATTTTTCCCTAAAATGATATCAACTTAGATATAAAATTATTGGATCACCTTGATCTGCTAATTAGCATTCTTTCATACTGTCACGAGCTAACTAAGATGATGATGGAACAGAGAAACAACAACGTCTCATTGAGTTGAAATGAGAACCTACATGCATTTATAAGAAAACAACATGCTACAGAATACATTACAGATCCATGCCTCAAATCTTAATTGCATCAGATTTATAATAGATAGAAATATTCATTTTTATCATATATAAATGGAAGAAATTCATGAAAAACAGGTCAAGACTATGAGCGCAATGTCTTCCGTATATTTCTATTTATAGTTACTCTAAATACTGCAGCATCTGAATGCAGAATTATCCAAAAAACATCAAGTTTGACAGGTAGAACAAGATAATGCAACCAACCTGCTTCTTTGTCAAAGGAAATGTAGCTGCTTTCACAAGAACTGTCAGCAGGATAATTGCAAATCCATAAGAATAAGGAACATGCAGTGTTGACAGTCCATCTTTTAAAATCTGCAACAGGTGAATGACAGAGGAACAGAGAAATCGATAGTTGAGATTATCACAGAATTAGGTTGATCTCAAAAAGCTGTGAAAAAAATATATAACTTGGATCTATTGAATCGATTCATTGACAATTATATTTGTGCAGGCATCTGGTCTTTGTTCTCAAGAATACTGCTGTGTTTAGTAACTCTGTAATCATTGCAAATCAAATAGAAGATTTAGCGACATAGGTTGTTGGTACTCATTAAAAATATTTAACATGCTGTTGGTACTAATGCAATGTATGTTTGTTGTCCATAGTGGACCTTGAGACCAAATAAGACTTTAAACAAAAGAACTTGGGCTGGCCAGCTACCAGATTAACACATGTTGAACCAAACGAGGTTTCTAGGACTGTTGTAGGACTGCAACAGAAAATCCAAAAGGAACAGAAAACAGAAGGAGCGGCAGACCAGGAGAAAAACACCCAGCTGTCAGCTGTCTGGCTTTGGTAGGTGACAGTTCCAAAAGGTGAATTTGTAACTCTGCTGACAAAACATGTTCTTTGTATTCCACCGGGAATAAGAACCTTTTAACAAAAACACTTTGTTTTCTTGCAAAAAAAAAAAACTATTGTTTTTCTTTTGACACTTGAGGAACTATTTTTTCATCACATACTAATGGTTTCCTGATTATTTCATAGATATATTTTTACTGTCGCTTGATTGCTAACAAAGGGGTATTAAATAGATAGTAGATATCTACAACAATTTTCATTTAGAACTAATCACTAATGAATGTCTATCTAATCTCCAAATCAATTATTTTCTCTAGGCCTGCAAACAAATAACTTGGGATAGAAATTCCGTGACTCCGAAAGACCATACCTCTTTAGAAAACTTGATCATCATACTCCTACCTTTTTCTAGTTGCATCCTACACAAACCTCAAGCATCTAAAACCAGCATGATGGGGTAAGATTGAACGAGTATTATCCTCCATAGCTAAGGAAATACCGAATCATCATATAAGTAAGTTATCACATCTTATCCCTAGTTAATGGATAGCCAAATCCCAATTAACCGTTCTTCAATAGAGCACCGACCTTGAGGACGGTCTCAAGATAATAGGTGATCCCAGAGAGCCAGTCACCGCTTTGCTTCGAGCTCTCCGCGGCCGCATCGGAGGACGCGACGGCCGCATCGGCGACGGTGTAGACGAGGCCCTCCACCCGGCCGAACAGTTCGCGAGCAAGCCCCTCGGCGGCCTCGAAGTCGGGGAGGTACGGGGCTGGGCCAACCCTGGCGACGAAGGAGCCGCGGAGAAGGGAGGGCGAGGGATGGCCGCCGAGAAGACCGAAGCGATCTTGCCGGTGTCGCAGGAGAAGAAGGGAGGGCGGCCGAGCGCTGGGCCGACCGGCGAAGGAGGGGAGCGGCAGGAATTGGAGCTCCGCGAAGAGGACGGAAGCCATTAATCGTCTCTCTCTTATTACGGCGGCGGTGAAAGCGAGCAAAAGGCGACGGAAGAGGTGCGAAAGGTGCGAAAGATGGGGAAGAATTAATAAGAAATGCTTTAGTTGATATTATTGTAATTGAGGATCCGAACGAATCTGTACTCGTTATTCTAATCATCCAATTGTGCGATCTCCACCGCTCGTCAGACACCTCATCTCGATCTCATCGCCGATCTAAACTAATCTCACGTGGACACTTGGATGTGAGGTTGAGATGTGGAATTGGAGGATTCCAATTCTATCAATGAATTGGAGAGAATCAATCCAGTACCCTTTTTTTAATTTGATGGATTTTTTTTATTTACAACCTCTTACTTAAAAAATAATAAAATATTATTTTATTATAAAAAATATTTTTCATCTTCTTATCATTGATTTTTAGATCGTCCCATTTGATTTGATTTTTTTATTATTTCATATCACCAATAATGAAAGATACACTAATGATTAGAGGAAAAAATAATAATAATGGAAAGAAGGAGAAGAGAGAATAAAAAGAATGAAAATTTTATTAAAATTAAATGATAATTTGATGATATTTATGTTTATTTATAAAAAAATGTTTTCTAAAAAATATAAATTAATTTTATGATTCAAAGATGATTAATAAATACTATTTTATATATTTTATGATTCAAAGTAAATTTGAAGTTCTTAGAGGGTATATATGGAAAAGAAATTGGGGCACTAACAACACTAATATGTGCGTCCCATAATATCTGAAGCCCCCGACGCCTCTTTCCTCCGCTCCTCTCCTCTCCTCTCCTCTCTCTCCTTATCTTCTCCCTCTTCCTCTCCCTCGCTCACTACCAATCAATGGCGGCAGGGACGGCCTTCAAGCCCATATCCATGGCCGAAGGCCTTCTTCCCTACCTCCCGGCCGCCTTCTTCTCTTCCAAACCCTCTCTCGCCCACCTCCCATTGCTCCGCTCCTCCAGGCCCTTACCGTTCCTCCACCTCTCCTGCTCGCGCTCATCTTCATCGATCTCCCTTAGAAGGAAGCTCCCTTTGCTCCCCCTTGTGGCCCAGACTTCCGACTGGGCTAGCCAGGAGGAGGAGGAGCAGGAGGCGAGCGAGGTCGAGGACCGCGGTTTTGGCTTGGAAGGGTTCGACGAGGGGGATGAACCTGGGCTCTCGGAGTTGGAAGGAGAGGAGGTGCAGGCGGAGGACAGTGGGGTGGTCGCCCAGGGGGAGGGCGAGTTTGTCGAGGGAGAAGAGGAGGAGGAGGAGGAGGAGGAGGAAGCTTATGTCGAGCCACCCGAGGAGGCTAAGCTCTTCGTTGGGAACCTCCCCTACGACTTCGACAGCGAGAAGCTCGCGCATCTCTTCGAAGAGGCTGGCGTCGTCGAGGTCGCCGAGGTAGAAGAACAAATGGGACCTTTTTAGCCTTTTTTGTTGTTGTTGCTTTGTGGTGCTTTTGGGTTCTGATAATAGGAGTGGATTGTCTCGGCCATGCTTGTGGATACGTAGGTGATATACAATCGACAGACAGATCAGAGTCGTGGGTTTGGATTTGTGACCATGAGCACTGTTGAAGAAGCAGAGAAAGCCGTGGAGATGTTCCATCGTTATGTAAGTTCTCTCCATAATGATTAAGTGGGAAGTTTTCTTCCTTGTTTATTGGATGGGAAACTTCTTTACGTGCATACTCACAATGGTATCCTTTTGGAAGTATCAAGGAAAACATGAAACAAATCTTTATGGTGACTCTAACTCCATATTTTTGTTGCTGTTGTGTTATTCCATCTTGATTGCATTCACTTGATCCTTAAAGCTGACATTACTTGCATCATTTAAAATATACATTTTCCTGGTGTCCTAATAGTTTCATTCTCAATTATATGAATCTTGTCATGTACAGTGAAGTTGGTTTAGCATTTTTCTGTCTTGGTCTTAGTTGCTTGAGGAATTATTAAAATATTGTTCTTTGTTTCCTGTGGAAAAGGGAGAATCATTTAGCCATTTTTTCTGTTCAATACTTGAATTAGGTTGTACTGGACATTCGCATAAAAAGTTTCCAACTGAGTTCCTGACATTATAATCAATGTAATATGGTTTAAGTTGCTTAAGAAATGAATATGAATGACAATGACAGCAGATATTAGCATTATCAGATTCCCACTCTGTTCCTTTTTTAGAGATTATATGTTTTGTATATATACTTGTCATTTTTCTCGTTTATGTGGGTTCCTTTTTAGTGAATGTAAGTTTTTTATGTGTATATGTCATTTTGTCATTCTTGTGGAGCTGGAGCATATTCCAGTTTGTTTATGTGTTTTCCGACTTGTAGACAGTGTAACGGATGATTTTAGATGTTCATTTGTGCATTGCGACAGGATTTTAATTTCTTTGTTGGACATTCGAGGAAGTCTTTCTTAAGTTGCATAGTCTTTATTTGTCTAATGTTTTCCTTAGCAGAAAAAAATAGCTTAAAACTCTCCAATTCCTTTTGAAGGATAGTTCTAAGAAACTATTCATGTCGGATTCCTACTTATGTAATTGTTTAGAGTAAATCTACATGGGTGATTTCAAATTTTTGTATATCTGTTTGGAAAATAATTTGATTAATATCCATTGAGCTGTTCAATTATACCATAAACCCAAATTTCAAATCCAATTGACCCCTAGTTAATAAAACTGAAACTAGTGGAAGTTAGTAAAACTAGACTGTAACCAGAGCTTGGTTCAATTAAAACTTAAACAAGTCTAGCGAGTTTGAACTAATCTACCAGAGTTGAATTGCATTAAAGTTGAACCTTGAGAACTTTTGGTTCATGTGCTACATATTGACAGTGAACCATGACAGATATACGAATACATGGTTTCATAGTTCTCAAGTGGCTAGGTGTCAACATGCTTAAGATTCCATGGTTGAAGAGTTATTTGCCGAAGCTAGGTTGAATCATTTAGGATGTTTGTAAACCAGACAGAACGATAGGTAAAGCATTGGTCCTTACTTCAACATTAGGAGTACTGCATGATGAATATAAAACGGCTAAGGATATTCAAGGCAGATAACAAAGTGGGTGTCATGAGGCCAAAGTTGGCTATTGATATTATTTATAATTTATTTTATTTTATGAAGTTGAGTAATTTATTTTACCAAGTACGTTGGCAATATATTGTAGAGTTTTCCATAAAGGTTTCCTGTTAACTAAGATAGTGGGATACTTAAAAATTTGTTATAGGAGTTCTGCATTGGGTAACGAAAAAAATATGGAAATGTAAGATGATGTTTCACAACCCTCGATGTCATCATCAACAAAAATAACACTAGATTTTATCTATAGTTTAAATGCATGAATAACAGCTTCTTTCCTTAAAGATCAGAATGAGATGGTGTTTGATGAACCATTAAAAATAACAGCTTCTTTCCTTGAAGATCAGAAAGATCAGATTACTGTTTCCTTTTTTATCTCTAATCACCTAGGAAACTGTATCAAACTGAAAGAAAAATAAGCACTACAACGGCATGACTTGAGGAACATGGTTACCCAATCCAAAGCACATCAACCATAAGTAGTAGAAGAATTGGTTTACACCAATAATGGGGCTACTATGGCCACTATGTCGCTCGCCTTGGCTGCTACAGAGCGAGCTATGGCGACTGTCATGGTTGCTTCAGTATGTGTCATGAACCTGAACACCATATTAGTTTGCCATAGCATTGAGCACTTTCGCTGTCTTAAGATTGCCATACTATGGTACCGCATCATGGCCCTTTTTCTATAACATTGATAAATTTCTTCTGCTTTTTAATTCTTTGATCACTTAAAAACATGAAATAGTTCACAAGAATGAACTATTCCCCTGGTAAACTGCTCTATTTGATGTATCTTAGGAATTTTACTAGTTAGAGATCTTCTTTAATTATTCAAACCACTAGCAGTACAGGCAGGATAATTGAGTTCAGGTATACTTTGTTAGGAAATACTTACGATGACCAGATTACATCTTGGTCAGGTTAGGAAGTGCGTCATCTCTCTCTATGTATATTGTATGAGTGTAGTTAAGACCCTGGGATGTTTCTCTTTCTTGTGAACTAAAAGTCCTTGCCTACCATTTTTGCTCTGCAAGAGAAAATTATGATTTTGACTAGTGTATGAATATGTTGCTAATTGCCTCTCTTTCATGCTTTGACTGGCATGAAGTGGTTCTTAATCCTGTCAAAGCAGCAATTTTTGTTTTCTTAGTATGGTTAAGTTTTTAACTCTTAACTCCTTTTCTATTTTGGAAACAGGAAGTTAGCGGCAGGCTTTTGACTGTAAACAAGGCAGCTCCTAGAGGGGCTCGTGTGGAAAGACCGCGGGAATTTGAGCCTTCTTTTAGAATCTATGTCGGCAATCTGCCTTGGCAAGTGGATGATGGCCGCTTGGAGCAAGTATTTAGTGAACATGGTAAAGTATTGGATGCAAGGGTGGTATATGATAGAGAGACTGGACGGTCACGTGGTTTTGGCTTTGTAAAAATGGCATCACAGGCTGAAATGGATGATGCAATTGCCGCACTTGATGGACAGGTGAGTCCATTTAATTTGGCGTGCTGTATATGCGATGTTTATATCTGCCAAGGTAGAACCAGGGTGCAAAGCCTATTTCTTGGTCTTATGTAACAATAGGGAAAGTATAAAATGTTCTGAACCGAGAATATATTTGATGTTCTATATATTTTTTTGCTCATCTAGTAATTATTGCTTTCTTGATGTTAACAGAGTATGGATGGTCGAGCATTAAGAGTTAATGTTGCTGAGGAGAGGCCAAGAAGCGCCGCCATCTTTTGATACGGAAAAACCGACTCTCTTTATCTGACAAATTGTCGACAAGATCAAATTACTGCCACATGAGTTCTTTCGTTTACTTTACTAGCTTGTGCCCTAGGTTCTTTCTCTTTTCTCGTTTCTTCTGCTGACTATTCGGGCTACTATTACCGGGCAAAGATGTGATTACTGTATGTTTTGCTACAATTAAAGTAGTTTTAAACAGTTTAATGGTTGTAAGACAGGTGGATATTCAGGATTA